CTGATGGAGGTTTGGATAGAATAATGAAGACATACAAAACCAAAACATGAGTAGTTTTGGTTCTAAAGCATGCTGCTAACTGATACCTAATGCCAAATCAGCAACTTTAAGTTTGATGATTGTACCATGTTTAGCTGTACTGTGTTGTCATATATAAGGGGTGTTGTTATGTGTGGCAGGGCTGCAGCAATTAAGCATGGTTGACACTTTGATCTGTTTGTGACAGAGACCTTGGACTCAGTCAGGACAGCTGGAATATTATTTAATGGATGTGGTTTAGAATATTTGTCCCCTGGGGATTCCGTCGCAGAATAAGTTTCCACTACTCAATTTTAATCCCGAGATGACATCTTTGGGCTGACTGAGATAAGGATTGTATTTTCACAGAGTAGGAACTGACATGGGTATGGACACCAACTTGGATGAGAAAGTGGCTAACTTTCAGTCTGTATTTTTAAAGAAACAAATATTTATCCCTGTGTTGAGGAGGATAAAGATGTAGACACTTACCAAAAGGAAATCCGAATGGCTGCTGTCTCTCCATCATATTTCGTTTTGACATATGGCTTTTGTTCCATGATATATCTCTGAAATCATTGATATTTATTATGAAACTCAGTGTTAAAATTTAAGCTATTTTCGATTTTCTGAGAACCATTCCCATTATTACCAAATTGATATGTATATTGCTTGACAAAGGAACTTGTGCAAGGTTTATGGTGAATTATTGTGATAAAAAGTAAAACCACACTTTACCAATGGCCTCCTATTTTTTACTGGAGTTACTTTTTCCATTTATATTCACTACTGTGTGAAGAAACAAAATTCCAATGTGTCCAATGGCAGGGTAACATTGTTTTTGTGTTGTCAGGATGGTTCCATGGTTATTAACTACTGGTAAAGCTAGTAATAGTTAAGTCTAGTGAAGCCTCTAGAGAAAATAGTCCAAAGCACCTGTGAAAGTCTAATTTCAGTAGTCTTCATAGTTTGTGGCTTGTCTTGCTTGAACTAGACGCAAAATGTTCAATATGCTTGCATTTTTCCTCAGTTTTAGTCAATGTAAATTTGTAGCCAAACTTAAGCATTGGCAACAGGTTCAGAATCACAGACCACAAATGTTAATAGTAAATTGTTGTTCAATATCCATATCCCAACTTAGAAATCTCTGGGCTGCTATATGATACTATAGATCTCACAGTGTGATATGATACATGACACCATCAATTGCTACTTGACATTGAAATGATACTGGATGACTCTATAAACAGGTTTTATATCAATGTATACACAAGTTTATAGATATGTGTGATGTTTCTATTTATTATCCATACAAGTGTAAATGTTCCAAATCCTGACATGACTATACTCCTGTGTCGTCTGGCGGACTCCTGCTGTTGTTGATGCTTCTTCCACATACCACATAGTTTCATGGTCACCTTCTCTCTCTGTGTTATTTATCATAGCTTTCACCTGGGACGTTACAGCAGTTACAACCTGGCATAGCCTTGCTGTCACTGGACTACATTAGCAACAAGTAGGGAATAAGTTGACCGTGAGGAAACACACAGTAGCTGCAGTGTAGGAGTAGTTGAACCCAACAAAAACTTGCTGCTTGACATCTCTAATACCTCCACACTGACAATAGTAGTACACTTTCTGTGTGAAGGTGACTTGTTGACCTGACCTGACAGCAGGACCACAGCTATTTACAGGGTCCAGCAGGGGACAACTGACCCAGGACTACTGTCATGCTGGTTGACCCTTGCCATCAGTTCTTTCAAGGACATGATTGTTGTGAATGGGTCAGTGACTATCAAAAGAAATCTGACATGATGGGTTTAGTTATATTTCTGTTTGTGATAGCAATGAACAGGATAGCTGTGATTTGTCCAACATGATGGTGTGTCAAGTGCAGGTCATCCTGGTGGTGACCTCCCTCTGTGATAGTGTACAGTGTTTTAGGGAGGTGAATGCAAAAAGGCAGTTGTATCAAAGATGATTCAAGAGTTGATTCATAAGGTATTTACCTCACTATAGAAGGTGATGTCTTAGAGATGTATCTGCAATATCCTCTGTCATTTGAGAAAATGAAGAATTTTTCCCAAGTTGAAGTTTAATTGGCACCAGGATGTCATGTTTTTTCACAAGATGTGGCACATGACAGTGTCATTGTGCCTCCCACCATTCAAAGGCTGAAAAGGGTTCAGTAATCTTGGTAAAATGTTTTGTAATTCTTCTAAATTACTTGGTGAAATTGAATGGTGACAGTGGACATTGCAGGCTCTGCCAGTGCTATTTACAATTGTGCAGAGCTCGGGTGGAAAGAAAGGATCAAGTAAACCTTGAGCTGATGAAATGATGGGTATATCATATTGCTCCTCCTTGATAATCCAGCATGTCTCCATTCCAGGATGATATATCATTTGGGTTCAAGATGTCACAAGCTTCATGCTCTAATCACGAACTTCGGACAGCTGTCACTGTATGTTTGCAGCCAACACCCAGTCAAACACATTTTATAAACATGAGACCTATATTCAAAATCACAGCCTTGCCCCATTTGTTTAAGCTGAAGTAGAAGAATATTATATCATGTATAAAAAACATGGTAAAACACAATACTGTTCTTGTTTCAAAAGAACAGTGGAATTTGATTTGTCTGTGACAAATTTTGTGTCATTTGACCCCCACTGAAGTTGACTTGACTAAGTTTTGTAAATGTAAGGCATATTTCAAAAGTATCAATGAAGCAAACAATTACCTCTGTCTGCTGTTTATTTTTGTCTTACAACTCTCGACAATCTGGGATAATGACCTCACTATTAAAAAAGAAAAAAGATCATAGCAATTTACCAGTTGGTTTTACATGATACTGACTGACTGACTGACTGACTGACTGACTGACTGACTGACTGACTGACTGACTTTGAGTTTGTTTTTCGCCGCTTTTAGCACTATTCCAGCAACATCACGGCGGGGGACACCAGAAATGGGCTTTACACATTGTACCCATGTGGGGATTCGAACCCGGGTCTTCGGCGTGACGAGCCAACGCTTTAACCACTAGGCTACCCCACCGCCCCTACATGATACTATAGTTGTTGAAAATGATGTTGCTATTTTACATTGACTGTGTTGTGTGATATGATCCACTTGGTAGTGTTAGATACTAGTACTAGGCTTATCTGTGGTGGTGACGCATACACTTATCTGTTATCAGATGTGAGTGGGCGTGTTCAAAATGGGACATGTTGACAAGTAAAGTAGTTATTTGTTTAAAGGTGACAATGTTTTTTGTAGGTAGACGAGATAACCTGTTTTAGGCCTCCACATTCCTTCACTGCTGGGAGAATTGTTGTTATAAGTGAGATATGGTATCAATAAGAGTGTAGGCTTGAATCTACGTGATGTTTTCAGGGGTGGATAAACTTTAAACTTGCTAGTGTACTCCGGTACAGTGGCACATGTAAAATCACTTGCCTGATAATTTTTCCACTATTCCGGCTGTTTTCTTGTTGATTTTTTAAATAAACAACATTATTAACATTGGAATATCAACTGGACACCGGTACAGTGTGATATACAAATTTGTTTGCCGACAGAAAAAAACACTGGAATCGGATGTCGGGCAATGGGTTATTTCCACCCCTTTGTTTTGGGCATCTATTCAGACAGAATTAATTTTAGTTGTACATGTTCCCTTCTTCCAGATATTGTGTGTCTCCATCGATAGATTTCACTTCCTTAAATCACCTGCTGTTTTACTATTATTCAAACATTCACATGTATAAATCAACATTTTACATTTGGTGGAGATTGCAACACAGTACACCTCACTTGAGAGTGAATGTAGGCTGGGGGGTTATTGGGGAGGTTGATATAAGCATTAACCAAGATAGCTACAGATAGATAAGTTGTGCTAGTTAAACATACATACCTATGTTCCATGGTTCAATATGCTCACTAGTCACACCCATCGTATGATGTGTATTTCGCAATGTATTGATATTGTGGAATTACAAACCTGAAGTAGGACAGGTGAAAACTGTTCAGCAACTTTCTGGTGTGACGACTGTGCAGTGTAAGTACATGAATAGTTCAGATGGGACCTTTTTATTGTACACAGTGGAGTTAGAAGTGTTACTTCCATACAACAGACCACAGTGTTCACCACCCGAGGTGTTTGCTGAGAGGTGCTGGTGATACATGTAAAGGACTGGGTTGTGTTTCATCTGGACCCCAGTGTTGTTTTCAGATCATTTTCTGAATTGTTCTGAGAGCAAGTTGTGATAAATTTTGTTGTATAAATGTTTGACAAAATACAACATTTTAATGGGGTATTTTCTTAGCTCTTGTTAGGTCATAACATTTTATGCCTTGTTTCAGCAAGTGTTGACTTGCTCAAGTTGTATTAAGTTGTGTTGAATGTTGTATTTCTGAAACCATGGTAACACTCACTAACAGGATGATTCTTCTCACAAATGCGATATGTTCATCCAGTCTTGTATTTTGTCATAATGAGTATATAAACGATATGTGTTTGTAAACTTATGATAACGATGTAACTGGTAAATCATTATGGGTTGCGATGTTTTAGTTTATTTAAAATTTCAAAGTGACCATGGTAGTGACCATATTTGATGATACATGTTTGTTCGATCGTCAATTTGAAGGGATACAATTTAGTTTCTTTTTGTGTGTAATATGCAAAATTATTCTTTCAAAATCCTCTCTCTTTTGTGACCTTACAGGCATGGTAGTTATGTTAAAGTACCTGGTCATTTCATATCACCAGGGACAGACAGACACTGATCATCACATTGGCCAGAACTCAAGAATACATATCTTTGAAATATATTGTGTATTATCATAGGTTGAAATGACCTTGAAAAATCTTCACCCAGAGCTGTGTGAAATTTGATGAACATGGAGGGGCTGTGGAAAGTACAGATGATGGTGCCATTTGTGAAAATGTTTTAATTATTCATGTTTGCTTTCAGCTGTGCTAGAGCGGAGATACTGACATGGTGATACGGAAAACCCCCTAGGCGCTAGTGATACAAGAAGGTAAGGCCAAGAGGGTGTGTGATTCTACTGGTTTCTACAGATGTTGTTCAAATAACAATTTGCCAATCTATTTGATGATTGCTCTACTTCATGTCGTTAGAGATGATTATGATATGATATGAGTTTTTGTTTTCACTAATTCAGCATGTGAAATATCCATATCTAAATTTACCGTTGTATTCAAATTGAATTAACTGAAAGGTCGCACAATAGCTATCATCTTGCCTTAGAGTAGAGGTAGTGTTTATAGAGTGATATTGGCATGGCATTGCAATAGTGTCCTGTAAAGACTGGAAAGGGCAGCATGACATCCCCATCTATACCTGCTGTTACAGGAACCAAATTTGATTTCCCAGGAGAGCATGAGAGAGTAATCTCCCCTTAAGGCCTCTTTGCATGCAATCTTGCACAGTAGGTGTCAGTAATAACACAGGGGTTAGGGGAGAGGAGTCATTAGATTTCTTAATGACTCCATTCCATGTGTCACTGAAAGAAAAAGCACCCTGCATCATTTGCAGTGTTCATGACACACCTACCGGTGATATACCTGAAATCGGGTCAAAGTACACAGGCCACTTATCTTCATATGTTGACTGACACATACCCTGGAAGCTGCTCGTCACTAAGAGATAACAGACACACTAGCCTTAACATGTGAAACTGGGTCAGCAAATACCATGTCACAATTATCAGGTCACAGACAAAACAAAACACTCAATAAAAACACCTGTGTAAATAACACTTTTACAGTTAGTGACTGAAAGCACTGGCCCACAACCATAGTACATGTACTTCCTTTAAACCAGCATGATAACTGTTGCTATATTTCCATAAAACTCGACTGAAAATAAGGGCAAGTGAACTTAAAATGTTTTGGTGGATGTAGAAAATCATATATTGAAAATGTGATTGTCAAGCTCCTTTCAAGTTTGTGAAACAGGTTTAGACTAGTGAGTGAGTGAGTGAGTTGAATGTTACCCTGCTTTTGGCAACATTACAGCAATATCATGGCCAGGGATACCAGACATGGGCTTCAAACATTATACTAATGTGGTGAACCAAACCCAAGCCAACAGTGTGACAAGCAAACACTTTAACCACTCGACTACCCCACCACCCCTGAATAGTTAAAATAGTTAAAAACAGTGGAAACAAGTAAGCTGTAAAAGCACTCAATAAGACAACAACAAGGAGATGTGTGAGGCGTGTATGCTATAGCTGGAACCAGCATACCCCAGGTTATGGAGCCTCAGCACAGCCATCGTGGTGGGTGGAATCCGCCATTATGTATATACTGCTTTTAACACAGCACATTCTCAAACACAAGTTAGAAAGGGCTGCTTCCATCCATAACTATACCTAGCAATGAGAGATATTGATCAAATGTGGTGGTCCAGACCATGGATACGCTAAATATTTAGATGCACGATTTACACCTGGAGAAGTCGTCAGGCTTTGTTGTCACCTGTGAGATGACTGAATGCAGCCCACATCGTCTACTGTAGTTTTAATCATGCTATAGATTTCTGTGTCTCTCATACGAGAACAATTTTAGATGTCAACATGTTTAGTCTGTGAGTTGAATATGATACTGTTCCCTTTGAGACGTTTTAATGATTTCATTTTGACAGTATTTTATGTGTGAGAAACAAGGGGCTCCAGTTAGCTTCTGCTTGAACAAACTGTCAATAAATATGGTAAACTTAAGGTGTTCATGATGTACTTTTATATCAGTTATTACATATTTGTGAAGTTGTGCAGGATTTTTATCAGTGAAAGTTTGGGTTAGAACTAGTCTTCATCAACCCATACTTGTATGAGGCCACTGACAGGATTGGGGGGTCAGGCTTGGTCACTTAGTGTATGCGTAGCATCATATCCCTTTGTGTAAATTGATACTTATGATGTTATCACCAAATTGTCTTGTCACGATTATTTCCATACAGGAGTATCACAGCTAACAAACAAACATCTAAACAAAAATCATTTGAAATTTTCATTTATTGTATACCACAGAATGTATTTCTAAATTTGTCATGAGTTGAGAAGGTATGTGTTCTAGCTAGGAAATATTACAAAGTAGTTGTGTGTGCTCATATGCAGGAAAATAAGTAATATTTTTAATGCTTCTTAATGATACGGGGCGGTGGGGTAGCCCAGTGGTTAAAGCGTTGTCTCGTCACGCCGAAGACCCGGGTTCGAATCCCCACATGGGTACAATTTGTGAAGCCCATTTCTGGTGTCCCCCGCCGTGATGTTGCTGGAATATTGCTAAAAGCGGCGTAAAGCCAAATTCAGTCAGTCAGTCTTAATGATACACTCTCTACTTCTGATAAAGTTCAATGATTTTTATACATCGATCATCTCACTGCTTACACCACAAGTACACAGTCTTGAGTTTCTTCAGGTCAAAATAATATACATTATGAACAGCTTCTGACGAATTTTGTTCAGATTTGAATTAACAAAAATTTGAATTAAGATTTCCCCAATATTGAAATGTGAATATGCATCAGTATGACATGAGGAGACAAATTCCTTGCCAATGATTCATGTCATACAATCCCCTGCAGATTCCCTTTTCCCTTAGGATGTTGGATCAGGGATTCCATTAAGTTACTTGTATTGCAATGCTATTATTTGTGTCACTGTATCAACTGAACGTTTCATGATCCAAATATTGATTGCATATGGATCAACACAGCACCCTCTCTGGTGATCATCATGGTCATATTTCAACAACACAGCTGACCATTAGAAAGGCAGGAGAACAAAAGTACTGAACAACAAAAATAAAACGAAGGCATAGAAGGAAACGTGACATGGAACGTTAACGTTCAGTCTTTGTGCAGATCTCAGATTAATGTTTGATGTCAAAATAGACCTTTTTGTCTTGTCACTTAGTATTTGTACAAGAGAATCAATGACGCTATGCTGACACTTGTGTGACAAAGGATAAGTTTCAGTTCCTTTCTAAATCTAGAAAAAAGAAGGTTGTAACATTTAACACTAGTAAATGTTGACCATATTTGTTGTAGATTCACCATGAATCTATGCTGGAAGAAAGAACGGCCACCGGGTAAGTACAACTTCTTCATCATCACAATCACTACCATGAGCACAGGTTAAATGCTGGCCTCAGAAATTGTTTCCAGTGAGTGAGTGAGGGAGTATTGCTCGCAGCATCAGCAATTTTGCAGCTATTCGTGGCAAGTAAATGGTTTCCAAGTTTGACACAAGAGTGATCATGTTCCATGCATTTCCTTTTTTTGACTTGTACCGTTTGTTCCCAAGTGTTTTCAGGTGAACACTTGACTTGCCTCTGCTTGTGTTTGTGATGGGTATCTCTGGTGGGCCAAGAGGCTCCTATATTTTGGTGAACATGTATTATCACTGTTTGGTACTTATTTGTCAACACATGCTCATTATATGGTCACAATTGTACATTTATCAATTTCTTATAGTTAAAGAAATGGTTTTGTCAGACATTTACATCAGGTACTACAGGCCTTTTCTAAAACATTTTAGGCAAAGACTGAATCTGATATTTTGAGGGATTGTTTCCTGTATGGACAGTTAAAAATGGCATTCATTTCCGACAATAGACAATATTTGAGATGGGAGCAGTGCAGTGTTTTGTTTTTCTATGATACAGAAATTCTGCTTGTATGAAATAATTGCATTTCAGTACTTTGTATTATACAAACATTTCTTGGAAAATCTCTGTCTGTGGCACTGAATAGTACCAAAGTGGAAAGTGATTAGTTGCAGTGTGTTACCACCAGGTTGAGAGTGTAATTGTACCTAACTGATTCAGAGGTGACTACCACGAGGATTTACCAAGGCTAATCTTGATTAGTTTGCAGGAAGCCAATATAATAGCTCATTGCTGTTAAAAATCACCTCACTCACTCACACCTGAATAATATATAATCTTTGATTTATAAAAGCCATTTCCCTGATCTACTTTCCTCTGCTTCCATGAAAGTGGTTATTGTAAATATATTTTCTTCCTAGAGACGCTCTGAGGAAAACTATTACACTAAAGTATGAAAACACAAGGATAAATGTCACCATTGAAATCTGAGTACTTGGTTGAGTAGGTAGATATTGTCTTTGTGGTGTCCAGTGTGCTGTATTGATTTAATACTCTCTGTACTGAGTGAACCTTGTTTCCTATAAAACCTACAGTCCCCACTCAATACATCCCTCTCCTTGCTTTGTGGCCAAGACAGAAACACACACAATGGGGCAAAAATCAAAGTTGACACCAGTAGCAGATGGTTAACTGAGGCGACACATTCCCATCGCACAACATATCACTGTTCAATAAAGATAGGAATTGAACTGTAGAAGCAGGAAAAGTCCAGCGAGATTTCAATGTTACTTTACTAAGCCAAGGAGTAAAGCTCTCCATTGATCAGAGCCCTGATGCTGTTTTTCACACTATAGTTTTCTGGGGGTCACTCTTGCTGAAGCTTGATCATGTTGATGGAGAATGTGGTGTTTGTGATGTGAAAGGGTTATATCCCTGGGTGAGGGTGACATCATGGTTGTTTAATGGCATCATCTGGGGAATATTGCAACACTGATCCTCGCAGTGGAAGTAAGGCTAAGGTTGGAAGTGGCAGAGTGTTACAGCAGGCCCTGCATTCCGTCCTCACCCTGACAGGTTAATCAGTTCCTGTGGCAGCTTGGTGCCGAGGTACTGATATTACAGTCTATCCTGTTCCACCAGCCATAGGAACACAGTGCTGGAAGTGGTTAATTGTGGGAGTGTATTGTACACACTGATAGGCTAAATGAGCCTTGCAAAGTGCACCTCTGTGGTTCAATTGACTCATAATGACTTTACCCAAATTGTGTCCATGATACGTAAGCTATCTAGTGCGAAGGGCTACATGAGATTAAATTGATGTCTGTGATGCCACAGACAACCATGTTATGGAACACCCATGTCAGATCTCCGTTCAGTTTGTTCCCAAACATATTCATCCATAGTTCATTTAACTATTTCTCTCAGTGACACGTAATTTGATTATTTGTGGCATGAGGCTTGCAGTAAAGATGTTACCCGTGTTTCTAGCTGACTGGCCTGTATTTGTCACTGATAACCTCAGGACAGAGTAATGTGAGAGGAAATAACAACAGTAATACTGGAAGCTGTCAGGGTGTGACTCATTAGACTCTCCAACACCTTGTCAGTGGATGCCCGGCACAAACTGTCACCAGCGACATGATGGTGCGGCTTGTTCTTCTCATTGCCATATTCACCATGAATAGGTCTGTGTTATTTAGGGTTGGTTAGCCTAATGGTTAAAGTGTTCACTCGTCACACTGAAAACCCGGGTTCGATTCCCCACATGGGTACACCATTTCTGGTGTTCCCAGCAGTGATGTTGCTGGAATGTTGCTAAAAGCGGCGTAAAACCAAACACACTCACTCATTCTAATTCATATGATGAAAGGAAAGTGCATATGAGTGAGAATGATTAATTTGAGTTATCATTTTCAGTATTTTGTTCATCTCGCATATGTACAAACATGGTAGCACTAAGGATTAGATATTCTCCTATGCACATATGAAACATCCCTATGAGACAACCAGCACGACATACTGATGTTGAAGTGACTTACAGAAGAATACCACCAGGACCAAGGAGAAACATTGCCATTGTAATAGAGAAAGTAGAATGTTATTGTCCATGTTGGCCTCAGCCAGCACTCTCCCACAAGCCATGTTTATAGCCAAAGAAGTAGTTTTCCTATTGATTATGTCTCTTTTTCTTCTCACAGCTTGTACCATTGCATGTGGTTTCATTGCCTCTGGTCGAGCAAATCGTCTTTGTAGCTTGAGCTGCTTTGCTTATGACATGATCAAGGGCTGTTAGATCTTTATCTTCATTAGAAAGGCCTTGGTTAGCCCCATGACATGAACAAAGGTCAATGTGGTAACAGCGCCACCTTCAGTGCAGACATTGTAATAAGTCCTTATTTGACTTGCCTAACAGCCCCTGGGATATGATGCTGAGCCCTTGTCAGTGCTGCTTGTAAGCTAGGACGTCCACATTGGCACCTGTTCTATATTTTGTCTCTTGTAGGAGTAACCTTGATCTCATGAGTATTCTTGATCCCTTGGAGTTGGTGCCAAAGCTAACTTTGGTAACATTGGTTTAAGAAACCACTCTAGGAGTGCTTTTTTAAGATGAAGTGAGGAAAACATGGACTTGTTGTCTGGAGTACGTGATGCTTTTGTCTCTGTGAGTAATTGAACCAAGAGCTGTTGATCCTTCAGAATGAAAACAGACCATAGGCGCCTTTCTCACATAGTGTGAAAAAACTGTTTCCGGAGGATGTGGAGACACTTATATTCCTGTGGGTGAAGCTAAACCCTGAGTAACCCTCTTACTACAAGACGAAACATTCTTCACTTCACTCCATTTGTACCTGTACTCTCTATACTGGGAAGTTGGCTTCTAGAGCCTTGTGCACACAGTAATGCATGTCCAGTGACTGGATCGATCGCTTGATGACATGAGGATTGTTTGACACTTGCACACCTAGAGCCATCCTGCTCTGTGTCCACTGGAAGCTATTACTATCTCTGTGTCTGACTCTGTCTTGAGGAGGATGGTTGAGATGAAGTGTTGCGGTATGACCAAAATCTTTACAGAAGGATTTGGTAAGTTGTGTTCAGTGTTTCTGTAATGGTTGATGGGAGTTTGAGGGTTCATGTTAGACATATCATTTTAAGGCTGTTTCTGAAAACGAGAATGTTGATGAAGATGCAGTGTGTCTTTTGATACTTCTTCAAACAATAAGTTTGTGTATTTTTCATTTAATAGCAGCATGTGGTATGAAATGTTTTAGAAACTTATACCACCATCATTACTACTATAGTATATCAAAAGGAGATTGCATGTCATATGAAATGAAGATAAGTTCATCTTCTTATGTGATATGAATACATGGAAAGGGCTTGTTATATTTGTCAGTTCAGTTGATACACGGCCTCATTGTGTTAACAGACATGATCTGACACACTAAACAGGCCGTAGTGCAACCTACAGGTGTGATCTGATCCATGCTATACAGGCCATAGTGCAACCTACAGCTGTGATCTGGTCCATGCTATACAGACCATAGTGCAACCTACAGCTGTGATCTGGTCCATGCTATACAGGCCATAGTGCAACCTACAGCTGTGATCTGATCCACGCTAAACAGGCCATAGTGCAACCTACAGCTGTGATCTGATCCATGCTATACAGGCCATAGTGCAACCTACAGCTGTGATCTGATCCATGCTATACAGGCCATAGTGCAACCTACAGCTGTGATCTGATCCATGCTATACAGGCCATAGTGCAACCTACAGCTGTGATCTGATCCATGCTATACAGGCCATAGTGCAACCGACAGCTGTGATCTGACCCACACCAAAACAGGCCATAGTGCAACCTACAGCTGTGATCTGATTCTGACCCACACTTAATAGGCTGTAATGCAAACTGCCAGCTGTGATCTGACCCACACTTAATAGGCTGTAGTGCAACCTGCCAGCTGTGATCTGATCCACGGTATACAGGCCATAGTGCAACCTGTCAGCTGTCATCTGACCCACACTAAACAAGCCATAGTGCAACCTGCCAGCTGTGATCTGACCCATACTAAACATACCCTAGTGCAACCTGACAGCTGTGATCTGACCCACACTAAACAGACCCTAGTGCAACCGGTCAGCTGTCATCTGACCCACATTAAACAGACCCTAGTGCAACCTGTCAGCTGTGATCTGACCCACATTAAATGGCCATAGTGCAACCTGCTAGCTGTGATCTGACCCACACTAAACAGATCATAGTGCAACCTGCCAGCTGTGATCTGACCCACACCATAAACAGACCCACACTAGTGCAACCTGCCAGCTGTGATCTGACCCACACTAAACAGACCCTAGTGCAACCTGCCAGCTGTGATCTGACCCACACTAAACAGACCCATAGTGCAACCTGCCAGCTGTGATCTGACCCACACTAAACAGACCCTAGTGCAACCTGCCAGCTGTGATCTGACCCA